TAACAGTCAGGGTTAAGCACCACTAGTTTAGAGTATTTGGCTGCTGTACATCTCCACGTGATGAGCCACTTCGTTGAGCAATCATTCGTGGTCAGGTCGCTTCTGAAAAAATCGATTTTCAGCTCCTGGTCAAAATAAAATACGTAGGTTAGTTTAAAAAGAAAAATAATTCCCAGCACAAAAAAATTCCAACAGGTGGTGTTTTCGCACGGATGAACACGGCACCAACCTATCAATCATCCACGTCACATTGATCTGCTTATTACTTCCGATGAAGTGTCCCTCCCCAATATGCCACGTGCAGTCAATTCCCCACGTGCCGCATTGTTGAAGGACGGACAGATGCGGGTAAAGCTTTCGTGACTGCAGGAATTTATACTCTTTGGTTCTTTCGGTAAAGTCACGTAGGTAGAAAAATAATAGAAAAAAACTGCGACTTCAGGAGTGTTTTCTTGCTGTGGTTGTCCCACCTGATGACGATTGCTTGTGTTGCGATCGAAACGTCATGATCGATCATTTTTCTGCCTACGTGACTTTAACGAAAGAACCAAAGAGGATACAAAGATAAATATTCCCCGTATAACTTTGTAACAGACGGACAAAGTGCTGTAAGCGAGCACATTTGAAAGCCGGCACGGCACACGAAGGGGTGGCTGGCCAGCACCACGCTCGGCCGCCTTTGTCTCCCTAGTAGCAATGTTCACACACCGCACCAAGTACTAATTTGAGGCTGCGTCGACCTAGGGGAAGCCCAGAACCGGTTCAGATAATCGGCATCGGTGTTGGTGGCCGTGAGTGGGAATCGAACTCGGGTCGCATGCAGTGCACAGGTCGACAAAATACAAACGTCATCCCAGCAATCGTCTAATACGTTGACCGTTGGGGCAATTGGTTTTAGCGAGCACCTATTATTTACATTCATGAACGATGCACGAATAAATGGTGCAGCGAACGCCACGCCCGGCCGCCTTTATCTCCCCACTGCTGAGATTGCAGATTACATTCCACACCAGGTGCTCATTTAAAAGGCGAGCCGACCTCAAACGGCACGTTCGTAAAAGATCCTCAGGTGGCTCAAGCATTCAAATGTTCACGCACGAAGCCACTTTTATTTGCCGTGACAAGGAATCGAACCCGGGTTGCTCCTGGATCGTAGGGCGGACGTTTGCGCCAACCCCCCTCCACCCCCTGCAAGACAAAAACAAAGATCCCCCGTATAGCCTTAACAGACTGTTTGGGTAAGTGTTGTTCACGAGCACCTATGAAGGCCGCCACGGCACACGAGGGGGTGGGTGGCCAACACCACGCCCGGTCGTCTTTGTCTCCCCCAGTGGCGATGTTCACACCCCGCACCAGGCACTAATTTAAGGCTGAGTCGACCTAGAGGAGGCCCAGACCCGATTCAGATAATCGTCACCGGTGCTGATCGTGAGCGCGAATCGAACTCGGCTCGCCGGGTTCTTCTGTATATTTGCCCTCTGTTCCATGCCAGCCAACCTCAGGCACATTCTCACAGGGTGTAAAACAAGCCTCACCCAAGGACGCTACACTTGGCGTCACAACCAAGTCCTTAAAAACCTTGCATCCGCCCTGGAGGACAAGCGAACTGCCACCAACTCCCTACCACCCCCAGCAGCATCACACCCCTTACGGACGACCTTTGTCCGCGAAGGGGCTAAACCACCAAAGAGCGGCTCTACACCAATAGAGCGAGACCAGCTGCGCTTGGCCCGCGACTGGAAAATGCTAGCTGACATTGGCCGGCAACTTGTGTTTCCTCCGGAGATCGCAACCACCACCCTAAGACCTGACATGGTGCTCTGGTCCCGTTCGCTCAAGAAGGTCTTCATCATTGAGCTCACAGTACCCTGGGAGGACTCAGTAGATGAGGCTTATGAGCGAAAACATCTGCGCTATGCCGATCTAGCTGCTGAAGCACGGCATCATGGCTGGAACACAGAAGTCCGACCAGTGGAGGTGGGCTGCAGAGGTTTTGTGGCAACATCTACAACCATACTGCTTAGAGACCTGGGAATTAAGGGCCAGAGCCAGCGTTCGGCAATCAGAGCTGTATCGGAGGCGGCAGAAGGCAGCAGTCAGTGGCTCTGGATGAAGAGGAAAGACCCCAGCTGGGCCCCAAAGTGAGAGGGCCAGGAGGTATGCAGTCAACAATGCTTGACTCAGGGATGAGGACGCCCCTGCCATGCATAGTCCCATGGGATGTTGGCTATCAACAACAAGGCAACTCCTATGACTAATTGGGAATGGGACGCAAGCGTACGATTGATCACCCTGTCGCTGGCCGCCTTTGGGGAGGGTGTATAGTATGAAAGGCCGAAACACCCTAGGACCCAAAGGTTCACTACTGACGATGCGCTCCCCAAATTTCACCAGGCTCACTGTTCATGAACTCTTGGAAGTGCTTGCACAAAGGATAATAACATCTCATCCTGTGTTATTTGGAATCTGCACGTGTGCATGGTGTACAGCACCTTGTGTTTATCCACTGCTGGATGATGACCGCCCTCAAACGCCGCGGGAGTAGAGAAGGGTTCTTTGACCATACTTCACCACGCCGGTCAACGTTGCTTGACGACGGTGAGCGTCACTCACGTGGCCGCACTGCCATCTGCTGCCCACTAAATATATGTACGTTGCATCCTATAGCACCCGTGGGGTTTGTTAGCGTTGCATTGTGGTCGCTAATCCCATAACTATTTAGGGCTCAAAATCCTGCTCGGATTTCCGAAATCGGAGATGATCGTGGGCATTCCGGCTCGCGCATCTGCAGAGCGATTACATCAATTAAATTCCGCTGTCGTTTTCGTAAACAGTTGGTGCCGAGTGAGTGATCGTAGTCTCATCTGTGTGTGTGTGCGGTGTAAACATGGGGAGCCGGTAGTGTAGCGGTTAGGGCGCTGCACAACGAACCGGGCCCTGGCCGAGTTTGATTCCAGCTTACGGCCAACACCGGTGACGATTATCTGAACCGGTCGTGGGCCTCCCCTAGGTCGACACAGCCTCAAATAAGTGTCTGGGTCGGTTGCGTAAACATCGCCACTGGGGAGACAAAGACGGAAGCTTGTGTTGCCTCCGAAACGTCGTGATTTAATGTATTTGTTTTCTTTTAACCTACGTGACTTTACCGAAAAAAAACAAAGAGTATGAATCCTTGCAGTCACGAAAGCTTCAAATCTAGAATTGAGACAAAGGCGGTCGGGCGTGGTATTGGCCACCCACCACCCTCGTGAGCCGTGCCTACCTTAATAGGTGCTCGCTAACAGCACTTGCCCCACTCGCCTGTTAAGGCTCTACGGGGGATCTTTGTCTTTGTAAAAATGTCAGTGCGCTTCATACCTCGGGCACGCTTTTAAGTGTGACGTGCACCCGTAAATGAACACGCCATGAGCGAGCGGTGTTCACGTTCGCTTGAACCATGCATCCGTTCACACGCCAGAATTCGGATCGTACGGCCGCCCACGTTACATTGAGTTCGAACTACCCACGAAAGACGGCACGTTTGGGCAATACGTTTCCGATCAGATTCCAACGTTGGATCAACGTTCACTGGGTATGCATGCAGCCAAATACACAATACATATTTGCAGGTAGTGTGTACATACAGACACAAACACGCATTGCGTACGTACATATATCACACGCATTGACATATGCATGTTGAACTTCTTTCACACCGTACGTAGCCAACCGTGCCAATCGGAGGTACATACAGACGCACACAATGCATGTACAGTAGTAGAGACAAACAGCAATTGTCCAGCATAGACAAATACTATATTGTACATTTCTAAGCATAGTACACAGACACATACGATAATACACGGCAGTACTATACAAAGACAAAGATCTCCCGTATAGCTTTAACAGACTGTTGGGACAAGTGGTGCTAGCGAGTAGAAACCATGAAGGCCGGCACGAGGGGGTGGGTGGCCAGCACCACGCCCGGCCGCCTTTGTCTCCCAAGCGACGATGTTTACGAGTAGAAACCATGAAGGCCGGCACGAGGGGGTGGGTGGCCAGCACCACGCCCGGCCGCCTTTGTCTCCCAAGCGACGATGTTTACACACCGCACCAGGCATTCATTTGAGGCTGAGTCGACCTAGGGGAAGCCCACGACCGGATCAGATAATCGTCACCAGTGTTGGCCGTGAGCGAAAACTATAGAGATTGACAAAGTCCTTATAAGGAAAGCAGGTAAACTAATTATAGTACATAACATGCACAAATATAGCACATGCATACACACAATACACACGCATAATGCTTTCAGTACATAGCTACACATTACCTATGCGACATACACAATATAATACGTACAACAAATGAACACACAATACTTATTGTACGTTTGTTGTGTGTATTGTATTGTGTACACACGGTAGATGTGGTACTGACACAATGTATAATACATACACAGTGCGTTAGACATACACTACACACGGTGCACATCTACACACTGCATACACAACATATACTATGCATACCTTTAAGCATACACACCGCGTTTAGCACATACACACGGCGTAACACACACACACACATCCCCCATTTAGCCTTAACAGACTGTAGGGGCAAGTGCTGTTAGCGAGCACCTATGAAGGCCGGCTCGGCACACGAGGGGGTGGGTGGCCAACACTACGCCCGGCCGTCTTTGTCTCCCTAGTGACGGTGTTTACACACCGCACCAGGTACTCATTTAAGGCTGAGTCGACCTAGAGGATGCCCTGGACCGGTTCAGATAATCGTCACTGGGTGTTGGCTGTGAGCGGGAATCGAACCCGGGTGGCCAGGTTCATAGCGCAGCGCGCTAACCGCTACACACACACAAACACATCCCCCGATGAACCTTCAATAGACTTTTGGGGCGAGTGGCATGAGCGAGTAGCAGCACCTACGTAGGGCGGCACTGGGGTGTGGGGTGGCCAGCACCACGCCGAACGATGTTTACCGCACACAGCACGTGTCGCGCACATTCTTACCTTCAGCAGCCTTGAACGATTGATACATTCCGAGGCGCAAGCCTCTCCACAAACTCTTCAGCTCAGAAGTCGCGGCAGCAGCAGCAGCAGAGTTCAGTCCAACCAAACTCAACCATTGAAGAATCCGTGCAACTGCGCTCCCCGAAAACCCATCCCATTCCACCACCACCACCACGGCGCCTCTGTCCGCTCTCTCTCTCTCTGCTCTCTCGCTCTCTGTATCAAATACTCTCCAGTCCCCCCCGAGTGAGGGAGCCCACACGCACAGCAGCAACAGCGGAAGAAAAGAAGAAGAAAAAAACCCAAACACGTTCCCCGAATCTCGGCACTTCGCATGCGAGAGGGGAGCGAGGGGAGAGGAGAGCGATGGAGGAGAGAGAGAGCGAGCGCACGAACGCCCGGCGCCTGACCCAGTAAGAAGAGTGGCGAGTGTGCGCTCGTGCTGATGCACTCTTCTTATAACGTTACAAAACACACACAGATACAAAGATCCCCCGTATAGCCTCAACCGACTGTTGGGGCAAGTGCCGTTAGCGAGCACCTATGAAGGACGGGACGGTTACACGAGGGGGTGGGTGGCCAAACACCACGCCCGACCGCCTTTGTTTCCCCAGTGGCGATGTTTTTACACACCGCACCAGGTACTCATTTGAGGCTGAGTCGACCTATGCGAGACCCAGGACCCGTTCAGATAATCGTCACTGGTGTTCATCCTGAGCAGGAATCGATCTCGGGTCGCCGGGTTCGTAGCGCAGCGTAGCGCTAACCACTACACCACCGCTCCCCCACTTATAACGTTACACACACACACGCGTGCGCCAACCACATCCAAGGGATGCATGCTCACTCACACTGGGGTGAACGAGAGACTGACTGGTCACGTTTCAGCGATCGCTCTGAGTGTGTGTGTGGGTGCTAGCTAATCGCACTTAACCCCAGCAGTGTGTCTAGGTTACATGGGGGATCTTTGTCTGTGTACTCTTGAACGTGCTCACACACGCGCGCGCGGTGTGTGACACTGAATGCTGACGCTGGGTGGACGAGTAAGTGATCACGTCTCAGCTACCACTGTGTGTGTGCGTGGTGTGTGTGTGCGTGGTGTGTGCATGGTGTGTGTGCGTGGTGTGTGTGTGCGTGGTGTGTGTGTGTGGTGTGTGTACATGGTGTGTGTGTACGTGGTGTGTGTGTATGGTGTGTGTGTGTGTACATTGTGTGTGCATGGTGTGTGTACGTGGTGTGTGTGCATGGTGTGTGTCCATGGTGTGTGTGTGTACGTGGTGTGTGTGTGTGTACATGGTGTGTGTGTGTGCGTGGTGTGTGTGTACGTGGTGTGTGTGTGTGTGTACGTGGTGTGTGTGTACGTGGTGTGTGTACATGGTGTGTGTGTACGTGGTGTGTGTGCATGGTGTGTGTGTACGTGGTGTGTGTACATGGTGTGTGTACGTGGTGTGTGTGTGTACATGGTGAGTACATGGTGTGTGTGTGGTCTGTGTGTGTGTACATGGTGTGTGTGTGAACGTGGTGTGTGCATGGTGTGTGTACATGGTGTGTGTGTACGTGGTGTATGTACATTGTGTGTGTGCATGGTGTGTGTACGTGGTGTGTGTGTACATGGAGTGTGTACATGGTGTGTGTGGTGTGTGTGTTTGTACATGGTGTGTGTGTGCATGGTGTGTGTGCATGGTGTGTGTACGTGGTGTGTGTACGTGGTATGTACGTGTGGTGTGTGTACGTGGTGTGTGTGTACATAGTGTGTGTGTACATGGTGTGTGTGTGTGCATGGTGTGTGTACATAGTGTGTGTGTGCATTGTGTGTGTGTACGTGGTGTGTGCGTGTGTGTGGTGTGTGTACATTGTGTGTGTGCATCGTGTGTGTACATGGTGTGTGTGTGTACGTGGTGTGTGTGTTTGTACATGGTGTGTGTACATGGAGTGTGTGTGTACGTGGTGTGTGTGTGTACATGGTGTGTGTGTGTACTTGGTGTGTTTGTACATGGTGTGTGTGTGTTTACGTGATTTGTGTGTGTGTTTGTACATGGTGTGTGTGTTTGTACATGGTGTGTGTGTGTACATGGTGTGTGTGTGTACATGGTGTGTGTGTGTACTTGGTGTGTGTATGTGGTTCGTGTATTTTGGTGTGCATGGTGTGTGTACATAGTGCGTGCGCATTGTGTACGTGGTATGTGTGTGTATTTTTGTACATGGTATGGGTGCATTGTGTGTGTGCATGGTGTGTGTGTGCATGGTGTGTGTACATGGTGTGTGTGTACATGGTGTGTGTGCATGATGTGTGTGTACATGCTGTGTGTGTACATAGTGTGTACTTGCTGTGTGTGTACATAGTGTGTTTACATGGTGTGTGTGTACATGGTGTGTGTGTACATGGTGTGTACATGCTGTGTGTACATAGTGTGTGTACATAGTGTGTGTACATGCTGTGTGTGTGTGTACATGCTGTGTGTGTGCATTGTATGTGTGCATGCTGTGTGTGTGTGTACATGCTGTGTGTGTGCATTGTATGTGTACATGCTGTGTGTGTACATGCTGTGTGTGTGCATTGTATGTGTACATGCTGTGTGTATACATAGTGTGTGTCCATAGTGTGTGTACATGCTGTGTGTGTACATGTTGTGTGTGTGCATTGTATGTGTACATGCTGTTTGTGTACATGCTGTGTGTGTACATAGTGTGTGTACATAGTGTGTGTGTACATAGTGTGTGTACATGCTGTGTGTACATGCTGTGTGTGTACATGCTGTGTGTACATGCTGTGTGTGTACATGCTGTGTGTGTACATGCTGTGTGTACATGCTGTGTGTGTACATGCTGTGTGTGTACATAGTGTGTGTACATAGTGTGTGTACATAGTGTGTGTACATGCTGTGTGTACATAGTGTGTGTAAATAGTGTGTACATAGTGTGTGTGTACATGCTGTGTGTGTACATGCTGTGTGTACATAGTGTGTGTACATAGTGTGTGTACATGCTGTGTGTGTACATGCTGTGTGTGTACATGCTGTGTGTACATAGTGTGTGTACATAGTGTGTGTACATGCTGTGTGTACATAGTGTGTGTACATAGTGTGTGTACATAGTGTGTGTACATGCTGTGTGTACATAGTGTGTGTACATGCTGTGTGTACATAGTGTGTGTACATAGTGTGTGTACATGCTGTGTGTGTACATAGTGTGTGTACATAGTGTGTGTACATGCTGTGTGTGTACATGCTGTGTGTGTACATAGTGTGTGTACATGTTGTGTGTGTACATGCTGTGTGTACATAGTGTGTGTACATAGTGTGTGTACATAGTGTGTGTACATGCTGTCTGTGTGTGTACATGATGTGTGTGTACATGCTGTGTGTACGTGCTGTGTGTGTACATAGTGTGTGTGTGTACATGCTGTGTGTGTACATGCTGTGTGTGTACATGATGTGTACATGCTGTGTGTGTACATAGTGTGTGTACATGATGTGTGTGTACATAGTGTGTGTACATACATTGTAGTTATAGACAGCGGAGTCTTTGTCTGTTTGACTGTGGTAGCAGCGGAGGCGTGGTGGTTAGCGCGCTGCACTACAAACCCGGACCCATCCAAAGTTCAATTCCCGCCCGTGGTTAACATCAGCTGCGATTAACTGACCTGTCCTCCTATGTCGGCTTTAAACGATGGCCCGGCCTGCTGAATACACATCAGCGCTGGGCAGACAAAAGTGATGGGGCGTCATTGTTGGTTCACACGACGGCCCCCCATCCACTCTCCCTCGTGCGCTGTGCCTACCTCGCTTGATTCCTAACATCACTTGCCCCAATTAGTCCATGTAGGCTACACGGGGGATATTTGTCTTGGCGCTTGTGGTACGTACTTCCTCTCTCTCTCTCTCTCTTGGGTACGACAGTGGTGTTATGGTTAGAGCACTCGAAATTACAGCTTCCGTTTTCGATTTCCCGGTGCGGCAGTGGAAACAATGGGCAACATTGTTTAAATCCCGACCCGACTCTCAGTTAATTCATTGGCACCACAGTTAGCGTCTGGCGGGATGAAACACGCGTTCTCTCGCCTCTTGCAAGACGTCTTAGAGGCGTTCCTCCACCAGAGCTCCCTCCAGTGGAGGCAAATCCGCCAACAGTGGCTTAAAGCAAAGCAATTGCAGTGCTGCGCCTTTGCCGATGTACTCGAGCAAACAGTTTAACGCGTAAGCCTTGGCGACCAATATCATCCATAATAGAGGCGTTTTTTGGGTGAGATCGCGTGAATATAAATGTGTCGTTAAACCACCCGACACAGCCAACTAGTAAGGTTTGTCACGTAAACACAGCAGGCCAATTCGTCACTAGTACAGCACTAACCGGTGTGTTGGAGAGTAAAAGCAACAACATTTAGAATTCGAGTACTCGAATCGGTGTGCTGAACTAGTAACGAATTAAATTTCGATTTAAAGCTTTCGTGACTGCAGGGATGCATCTTCTTGGTTCTTTCGGTAAAGTCACGTAGAAGGGAAATAATAAAAATAAAACATAATAAATTACAATTCTCACGACGTTTCGGCCATAGCTTCACCTGAAGACGGCTGCTTGCGTTGTGGCCGAAACGTCGTGAAAATTGTATTTTATTATGTTTTCTTTTTATTAATTTATTATTTTCCTTCTGCGTGACTTTGCCGAAAGAACCAAGAAGATTGTAACGAATTGACCTGTTGTGTTTACGCGACAAACCTTACTGATTGTCTGTGAACGACACATTTTTATTTACGCGATCTAACCCCCCCCAAAAAAACCACCTCCATTATCGAGCAAACAGAACGGGCCTCCCGGCGAAATGTCAGAAGCAGATTCTGACGTGCGGATGGAGCACGCGGACAGACACCGTGTAGTATGATTTAATATACAAAATAAATTATACACATGCGGGTGTCTTGCGAATAATGCCACGTGTGGTGTAAATAGTTAAACATGTTTAAACATCGGCTCGGCTTCGCGTGAGCTGCTGCTCGTAGAATGACCGAACGACGTCGAGAATTTTTCATTTAACAGAACAACAAAGGACGACAAAAAAAACACGCGAGGCGACCTTTCGGGCTCTCGTCTTTCTCGCGAGCACGTAGACAGGCCAGCGAGGTAGGATTGTGATTCACGAATGCGTTTTGGTTTATTGTTGTACGTTATCAGTCAATCGTTTGGCGGAACGATGGAATCGAGGTGGCCAACCGCTGCACCACCGCTCCGCACGCACGCACGCACACAAGCACGCACGAGGGTGGAAAAAAAATCTAGAAGGAAAGCAGAGGTCGCAACCGGGTACCCGATACCCGTACCCTACCCGATACCCGGCTACCCGTACCCGGCCGGATATGGGTACCCGTTTGCGACCCTGGTGCGGCCGGGTACGGGTACGGGTAAGCCGTGAGTCACTGGTGAGTCACCATTTGTCACTCATTTCCCAACGTCTTGTCTCTTCTCACAATTCAAGTTCCTAGAATCAACCCACCCGCGCCTGCAACATGGCTTCATCCCAGAGGTCGCAATTCGGGTACCCGATACCCATACCCAACCCGTACCCGGCTGGGTACGGGTAGCCGGGTATCGGGTAGGGTACGGGTACCCGTTTGCGACCCTGCCATGTACGGGTAAGAAATCAAAACCCGTTTGCGACCTCTGAAGGGAAGTAGCAGAGCCCAATGATGTCGCGGGCACTTCGAGTCGAGGGATACTACGGCTCGATCAGACAGGGGACAATATTCCAGTGAGCATGCTGCATGCCGGCGAGATGTCCCATCTCGGTCCACGTTCCGCTGAAT